AATATAGAGGAAGAAAATAAATACTACTCTAACTAATGTCGAGATGTTAACTAATTGTCATCTTAGTAACACTCCCCAACATTAATATAGAGATAGTATTAAGGGAAAAATTAATATTCAAAGAAGAAGATTAAAGAAAATAACTCACAACTTACAATTCATTAAGCTTCAAAGTAGCAAAACCAAAATGGAAAGACTACCTAAATTACAAAAATAAAGTGTATATGAAAGAGGGGATTAAATTGGTATCTAAAATAGGAAGGAAAGAGGTGTTTTTATAGGAGAAGTGAGGTGGTTGGGTCTAAGACATAATCTGATTTTCCCATGTTCATTTGTTTTATTTGATCTCTTATGATCTCCGGGTCGAATCATATCCAATTTTTCACACATCTTTCTCCTCCATGAAGCTTCCTCTTGTCTCCAATGCTCCTTCCTTATGGTCCCAAGCTCCTTCATCTTCTTTTCATCATGTTTTTGCTTACATGTCAAAATATCTTAATATCTTCTAATTCTTCTTTAATTTCAGAAGATAAAGATTACACCATAATTGTACAAAAGCTAAGTAAACATAATGTAAAACCATTCTAAAATGTGGTGTTTATGTACTTCTAAATAGTACGCATCAACCGCCGGTAGAGAGCCTTGCGGGTTCATCAGAGGCAAGAAAATACTAAGTCCACATCTGGATCCGACCCCGACCCCGACCGCCGAGGTCGAGAAACATCAAGCTCAGGAATCAAGCAAACTCAGTAGATAACGGAGTCAACCGACCCCGACCCGATCCTGAGGTCGGGAAAACATCGAGCTCAGGAGTCAACCAAACTCAACGAGTTATGAGCCCGACCTCGAGACATCCGAGGTCGGCACCAGGTCTGACCTCAGAAGTCTTACTCCATGTCAACGTCAATCGAAGCACCAGGCAGTCAAACCACCTCCAAAGCAAGAACAGAAGACAGCAGGACGAGTCCTCTCAACATAGGCCCGAGCTCGCAGATACCGACCTCAGTAACCTTCGAGGTCGGGAGAAAAGCACCTTGTACTTGGGCGAAATCCGCAAGGGCTTGATTCATGAGGAAATATCGCCACGTCACTCTCCGCACTGATGGAATATACCGGATTATCTGCACACAGCTACACGAAATCGTTGGCAGGAATTCTGTTAGAGGAATAATCAATCAGCCAGCTATCAAAAGCTCTCTTTCCAATCAGCTTTACACGTGGCTGCTCTCGGTTCATTTAGTCTGGTAGTTTGTTAGAGTAGCTTTACATGTGCCCCTCTCCCATTAGACTAGCATATTTTGCTTGGCCATCAAGTATTTCCCTTTTCTCCTTAGTATAAATACCACCTTCCGGCTTGGGGAAGGGGGGCTAAGTACTTAATCTTCTGCACTCTTGAGATTGATACTCTGAGATTTTGCTGAATCAAATACCTGACTCTTCCGTCCAGTTTACTCTCTCTTTCCTACTTCCATTCTCGGTGGATTCCGGCCACCCCTGGTCCGACGATCCATCATTATGCATATCAATAAATTTAATGATGCATTTAAGTGTGAAGATGAGTGCACATTATATGTAAATTGGTTATCAATAAATATTGTACAAAACAACTCACCATTGAGTCAATGTTTATTTTTTGAACAGGGAACCAATTATGCATATAAATGCATCTAATAATGAAGTTAAGTGGGATGAGAAGTGCATACTATACTGAAACAAATAGGCACATCTCATACATTGAACAGAAGTAAAGATGTATTAATTACATCATGTTTACAATGTACGTATCATTACATAGGAAATTAAAATGCAGTAAAAAAAACAACTGCATTAATATACTGACATTATGAATTTCTATTTGTTCAAGGGACAAGTCAAGCTAATGAAGCTATTGTGACCAAACATCTCATTCCATAATCTATAAAGGCTCTTGGGACATTTTGATTCTTCAACAACCACATCTTCTAAAAACTAGATTCTTCTAAGAGAACATTTACTTTTATCCCATGTAAGGTACAAAAACCATATATTGCGCCTGCGAATATTGCAAGGATGATAAGTTATGCATCAAATAAGCAGATAAGTGCATACAGTTCAATTCGAACATGCAAATTAAACATACTGGTGTAAGATGCAGGTAAATTTGAAGCATAAAAATCAAACAAACAGAAAAAATACAATACATTCTAGACAAAAGGAGTACATGAAAGATGACACATGAGCTTAATTAATAGCAGATCTGTATTAGTGATGACTTTTGACTCAATTAATAACCATTTGGAAGTGAAATAAGTTAACTAACAACACAAAAGACATATATACTCTGTATTTAATTAACTATTACATAATACTGAATGAATGCATAGTACAGCTATAAATGATGCATATTGTATCACAAATACATTCATCATTCATGTAACCCAAGAATAACCTAGTTAACAACAAATTTAGTAATTCACTCTTTGCATTCTAATTTTAAAACATTGAAATTTATAAATTAAATAAAAACAACATTCGAAGAGTTAAAAACTACAATGTTTTAGAATGAAGTTTGGAGCGATGGATAATACTTCGAATACATAACATATGAGACAATGATGAATACTAAAAAATACTTTGTGCTATTAGAATTTGAAAATGAACACAAAGAGCTTAATACAATGAAGAGATTATGAAAACGCCTATAATAATAGCATACCCGAATCCACAGTCTTCAATTAATAATAGACCTATTGCAATTAAATTGTATTAGGTTGAGAAAAAGAAACAGTGGCTTGCGAATAGAGATGGAGATGGAGTGAAATTTTAAGATGGACATAGCAGAGAATTGAGTTTAATTATAAACTTACGGTTGGAAAAGAAGCAGTTCGAGTAAGGGCGTAAACTGTTGATCGATGAAAATGGCGATGATTCAAGCTTTGATGGAATGATGTAAGTGGTTGATTGAAGAATATGGATGAAAAGGAAATTATAGAATAGCAGCAGTTATGGAAAGGAACATGATTCTTTTCCAAAAATGAGATAACAAAAAAGACTAATGAGCCCTCAATTGTCTAAAAGCATCAAGATTAAATGTAACGGCAGATCAATTAGAATAGATGGCCATGATTAGTTTGTAGGTTAGTAAATTAAGCCAAGTTTGCATTTGATCTCTAATATATATATATATATATATATATATATATATATACACATAATATATATATATATATACATAATATATATATATATATAGGGGTGAGTTCTAATACAAAGGGGTCTTCCCATGAAAAGTGGGAAGTGATCTAAGCCCTTGATCACTTCAAAATGAATGGAGTGGATCAAAATTCACGGTAAACCAAAATGTGTAATACATAATAGTAAAAGTGCATATGCCATATCTAAGAGAGCATATTCACCTCCTAAAAAATTAACACAAACGATTTCTATACTTCTTGCTTTCCACCCCGAAAAGTGATGCACTTTTGTGTTACTTCAATGCACTTTTTCTCCATAGTCATGCACATTTATCATTTACACTATTGACACCGATTTTTTTAATATTACACTATTGGCACCGAATTTTCCACTTTAAAATTGACCCGATTCATTCATTTTCTCATTTTAACGACTAAGATTACTTCTCATTTTTCATATAAGTAGTAGTTTGTATTTGAACCTCCCTCTATATAGGGAGCGGTTCTGGTAAGAATAGACTCCCAGGAGAGAAATGAGAACGAATCTGAACCGTTGGATTGTATTATATGAAACTGGATTGTGCATATGGTGAAACTGAAATGTGCATCAGTTTATACTGAAATGTGCAGAATAAAAATTTAAACTCAAGTGTGCATTAGGTGAAACTGAAATGTGCGAAATAAAAGATACAAAAATAACATCACATCGTACCTTTTATTCTGCACATTTCAGTTTCACCTAGGGCACATTTCAATTTCATCTAATGCACAATTCAACTTCACATAATGTCACTGTATTGTACCATTTGTGCTGCACATTTCAATTTCACCTAATGCACATTACAATTTCATCTAATGCACATTGAATTTCACTTGAAATAAATCTAACGGTCCAAATTCATTCTCATTTCTCTCCTAAGATCATGTTCTTATTTGAACCAAAACATATATATATATATATATATATATATATATATATATATATATATATATATATATATATATATACTTCCTCTGGTCCTAAATAAAGTTCACACTTTCCTTTTAGGGCCGGTCCAAAATAAAATTCACACTTCTTCTTTCTTCCTTATTTGGCAAATTAGCTACATCAAAACAGTGCAAAACAGTGTCAAACAGTTTCACAACAGTGTACTCTACAGTAAAGTCAAATTTAGTTCTTTAATTTGTGTGAAGTGTACTCTACAGTAAAGTCAAATTTATTTCTTTAATTTGTGTGAAGTCAAACGGTGAAATTTATTTAGGATGAGAGGGAGTATATATATATATATATATAAATAAAACAAACAGTTGCCAAGTCCTTGAAGGCTAATTGCTTACATTAATTTTGGGCTGAAAGGATAGGTGGTGGTGAGATATGGAGTGGACTGATCGAAGTAGACATGTAACCAGTATAAAGTTGGTGCCTCGCTCTTAATTACTCCATCCAATCTCTGCTTCTTCTTTATTAATACTGTAAACCGCCCCATTCTTGGTAAGATCGAATTCAACAAAACACATAAATAAATACTACGTATAATTAAATGGTGCTCTCCGCCGCCGCCGCCGCCATAGTACTGCTGCTGCCTCTCCTCACTTTGATGACTGGCGCTGAAGCCAAAGTCCCGGCGGTGATAGTGTTCGGCGACTCCTCCGTAGACACCGGCAACAACAACCGGATCTCCACCCTCCTCAAGAGCAACTTCGAGCCCTACGGCCGCGACTTCATCGGCAAACGCCCCACCGGGAGGTTCTCTAACGGTCGGGTCCCGTCCGACTTGATATCCGAGGGTCTTGGCCTCCGCCCTTTCGTCCCAGCCTACCTCGACCCCGCTTACAACATTTCCGACTTCGCAGCTGGCGTCTGCTTTGCCTCCGCTGGCACTGGCTATGACAATGCTACCTCCGCCGTACTAGTAAGTCTAAAATCTATGCCAATCTTTACTTTTCCTTACTTATACTTCCTCCCATTCTACTTTACCATCTTTTCATTTTTTATTGTTCCAAAAAACTTTCTCATTTTTCCATTGAAGTTACTATTTTGTGGTTCTACTCATTTCTTTCTCCTCTGTACAAACTTGAACCACACAATTTTTACTATTCTTATTTATCACCTAACATAAGGATCCCAAATTCATTGGGATGGAGGTAATACAATAATACAGTTTTTCGGGATATTAAACAAAATCTAAAGGGACAAAAAATATGTAATTATTTGTTTTAATAAATTAAAGCTTAAACAAGAAAGAATATAATTTAGATACCCATGAAATAGAAATGAATAGTGTTCGTGTGAGTACTGTTCCCTATTAGATAGCCACCCTTGGAAAGTATCATAATATGCCAAAATTAAGTACGGAGTAGTAGTTTGTATTGTTTTCACTTCTTGATGGTAGTCAAGTTAAAGATGACACAAGAGAATAAAACCAAATAATTCCACAGTGATGAGGGGAAGTGGAGCATTTTGAAAATATTCCATTTTGACATGTAGGAGATTGGATAGTTTGTGGTAATCAACATGTTTCCTCCAAAATACCCGATTTGGGGGTTTAGAATAAGAGGAAGTGGAGCATTTTGAAAGCCCTCCACTTTCCTCCCCTTCCCCCCTATTTCCTTCAACCAAACACACAAATCCCCCACTTTCTTCCGCTCCCCTCCGAAACCTTCCAACCAAACAGGACCTAAACGTCAACAATAAATGTTTTATTAAAATCATTGGGATGGAATGCAGGAAAGATTTATCCCCGCTAGTGTTTAAATTTAAAAAGCACCATAAAGTCAAACTAGAAATAAATACAACACCCGCATGAGTAGCTCAGTTGGTCGAGGCGGTGGGAAAAATTGGACGTAGACCAAGGTTCGAATCCCGTAACGGCTAAAAGGGGGTTTTCAGAATCTGAAATAAGGCTGGTCCTCTGGTGCGCACGGGTAAAGGCCAACCGCCGCTTTGCCGACTGATTCACCGTGATTTACTCCCCCACCATCCTGTCGGGTCGGGGTGGGGTGCGCACGGGTAAGATTCAACCTTTTTGGACGTAGAATTAAATACGACGTAGTATAACAAACGATGAGAAGCGTTGCGGATTCATTTTTGGCAGAAATAAAGTTAAATTAAAGACCAAATATCAAACGTTAGATCTTGATTTGTTCGAAAGTAGCTAGACCATTTAATCTTACTTTTTCATCCCTAACATTTAACTTATCATAAATGATTAGAAGTAATATTTGATACTAATGAAAAAAATTGAATCATAATCTTCATTTTGAGCCTTATAACTTAAAAAGAACACACCTATAAGCCCGAGATCAGACTTCCTCTAGCCTCTGTGGGGCTAGCTCCATGCCACCACGTATAGGATGTTTTACTGATGAAATGTAATTCTGATCCATATGATGAACGGTTTTGCTAGGTGTACACAAAATGTGCACACTTTTTTTGTACACTTGTCTGTCCGACTATTCCCGCGGACAAGTTGTTTGTCCACATACAATGCGAGGTAGACAAATCTATACAAAAGGTGTACACATTTTGTGTACACCTCACTTTTTTCTACGATGAATGCAATGTAATGTAATTTGAGCTGCAGAACGTGATACCATTGTGGAAGGAAGTGGAGAACTACAAAGAGTATCAGAACAAATTGCGGGCATACGCGGGAGGGAGAAAGGCGAGGTATGTGATCCAGGAGTCGCTGTATGTGGTGAGCATGGGAACCAACGACTTCCTAGAGAACTACTACATGCCCGGGAGTCGGAGGGGGAAGCAGTTCACGGTGGAGCAGTTCCAGGGCTTCCTCCTCAGGATCGCCGAGAAGTTCGTGAGGGAAATCTACGGGCTGGGAGCGAGGAAGATAGCCCTGGGAGGGCTCCCTCCCATGGGCTGTCTCCCTCTGGAGCGAACCGCCAGTTTCCTGGGCGGCTTTGGTAACGTCTGCAACCAAAAGTACAACGCCCTGGCTGCGCGTTTCAACACCCTTTTGAATGTCATGATGAGTAAGCTTAATCGGGAGCTTCCCGGGCTCCGCCTTGTTTACTCCGATGCCTACACCGTTTTGCTTCAGATCATCACAAAACCTTCTTCATACGGTACGTAATAAATAATTATTCAAATTCATTTTTCTCCACATCCTTCATCATATACTTGGAAAATAGTGCGGTTGCGGCCATTACAGGCAATGTGATGTGTATTGCAGTCCTGCTGCGTAATGTAAATTAGATTTACATTTACACGAAATAAGAAAATTGTATTAACTTTTCGGTTTTGGATGTGAATTGAAAACACACCACTATCGCGGCTCGATGCTGTTGCGTTGTGGATCGCTACCGCATTAATACTGCGGCCGCAACATGTTTTTAAATAGGTAGATTATATGGTACTCATAAGATATCGTACTTTTGTCCACATGGACCAATGAGAATGTAGCAGTTGAATTATTTAAATCTAAATTAAAAATGATAAAGTGGTGTGATCCAATCAAATGAATGATAGGTACGGTACCCCATTTTTTAGAAGGGTACCGAAGTTGTCACCTTTTAAAATATGGTACTTTAGTCACACGACTTCTTGCCAAAGAAAGTCACATACACCAATGTACATTACTCACAATCACCAATTTAATTTGCATTACTCACAATGTAAGTCTACGGCAATGATCATATATGCATCTTCTTGGTACATTCGCACATGAAAACTGGTGCACGATAGCTTGTGCATGACCGTTTAAAAGGAATTTTTAAATAAACTTTTACTCCCTCCGTCCCATAATTTACTTTCAACTTTCCATTTTCGTCTGTCCCAAAAAGAACTTTCATTTCCCTTTTTGGCAAAGAATTTGTGGTTCACAGCAATTATTACACATTCTTACACATTTTTCTTTCCTCTGCACAACTTTCCACCACACAATTCTCACATTCTTAATCCGTGTGTCATTTGTACTATGGAAGTAAATTCTGGGACGGAGGGAGTACATTTTATGATCATATAATAAATTTTTTATTTTTGAAATAGGTCAAGACCTAGCATGACCGAGCTACCCAGGGGCGGACCCACCCTAGGGCTAGGGGGTGCCCGTACCCCTGCGGTGATTTATATATATATATATATATATATATATATATATGTATATATATTAGAAAATTCTCAGGTCCAGCACCTCCCGGTCCGAAAGCCGTCCGAACACCGCAGTTTGGGACGGTTCCAGGTGGAATTTTTTGATGAAATTTTTTGAGCATGTTCCTCATCAAGTCTAGTTTATCCATACCAAATTTCAGGTCAAAATTCGACCAGGAAGGCAGTCAAATAATTCGTTGAAGTTAACTGCGTTTTTCTATGTATAATTTGGCGCAGTTAACTTCAACGAATTATTTGACTGCCTTTCCGATCGAATTTTGAGCTGAAGTTTGGTATGGATAAACTAGACTTGATGAGGAACATGTTCAAAAATTTTCATCAAAATATTCCGCCGGGAACCGCCTCAAATGCCGGTGTTCGGACGGCGTTCGGACAGAAAAGTGCTGGACAGAAAAGTTATGCCGATTGAGACTTATGATGTTAATATTAGAGATGAGTTGAGGAGACGTTATTTGAGAAAAGGTCCTTGCCAACCGCGTGACTTTAAATTTCCACAAAGTGATTTTAATGGGTGCAACAGATCATTCCAAAAACAGTGGTTTTATTTAAATTTTATAGTTTTGTTTATTGCTATACTCGTGATGCATATGATTTTTTTCTAGACTAGTATATCATTTCTTTGTTATTGTGCCCCTGCGAGTCACGAGTCCTGGTTCCGCCACTGGAGCTACCTACCCAGGAAGTGTTTTTTCCTAGACCTGAGGTGTAGTCCATCCTTAACATCCACATATAACCAATCATACGGAGTAGTCCATCCGTCCCGAATTGAATTGCAAACTTTGACCGGCACAAGAATTAAGGAACGGCAATAAATGATGTTTGCTTTTTACACGTTTGTCCATCTTTCTAAAAGTGGATGCCTTTACGTTAATGGGAAAAAAATAAAAAGTAAGGGTAAATTTGTCATTTTATTCTTATTTACATGCCTAGAATGGAAAGTAGAAAACCATTTTGGGACAATTTTAGTGGGACTTCCCGAAAAGGTAAAACGGGACAATATAAGAGGGACGGAGGGAGTAGCAAATAAATTATCTCTCTTTATTTGAATGATTTTATACAATTTTGGTAAGTTTTTCTCTGCAATGTCAACCACAATGTCAACATCTAAACGGTCTTCTTGACATTATGGAGATCAGAAAAACTTACCAAAATTGAATAAAATCATTCAAATAAGAAGAGAGATGATTTATTTGTTAATATTTATGTGGTTATCTCTCATGCCATGTGTGCACCGTGCACATTGTAACATTGGTATGCTTTTAACATTGGGACCTAATATCTAACCAAGTAAAGGAGTAATAACAAACACGACCGAAAACAAGGATTTTTGACAAGGATTTTTTATAGGAATTCACCAAAATTTATAAAAAAAATTGATAATGATATGCCAAATTCTTATCAAAATAGTTTGGCACGAGTTATTTAACACAAAATTATTGATGAATCTGTGTCAATCTCACAATTTCTTGTAGTGAAGTGGCCACAATGTATTTTTACGCCAAAATGAACTATAATTCACATTCGCACATACAATCATGTCATATTTATGGGATCCATACCCAAATGATATATAAGACTCAAAAACATCATGTACACCATTTGCAACTCACATACCTTGTCACTTACCTACTCGTATGTATCAGGAGCCTACTTCATTAATGATTACATGTGCTTGAAAAGTCAGCGGGTGCATGTCCTTGTTGGGCCATAAATGGAGAGCATATATATGACCTTAAATTGATAAATGACCTTCAATGGGCTAGTTTACCTGAACCCCTTTATTTGTCTCTTCTTTATCTAAGGATTAGCCAACACCCACCTCCCAACCATATACGTTTCTATTAAAATACACAGGATATTTGATTGGTGCGGGGAAATGAGCATATATAGATTTATGTGCTCGCGCATACATAATGCACCTTTTTCCATGGCACACGAAATTTATAACATTTGAACAAGTTTTTGCATTTTCATTATCTTTTTGCAATATTAACCTTTTACAATCTTTATATCTTGAATTCAACTGTATTGTTTCTCATTTCTTTGTTAAGATGTCATTCTCATTTAAACAAAAAAAAATGTATGTGAATTCGTAGGTATTTGTTTATATATATATATGTATATAATTTAAGTTTAATTTTATCAATTTGTCAATTAATTAATTTATTAAAATATTGCACATTTTAATCATGAAATTTCCAGATCTGCCCGTAGATAATTAGTATTCCATAAGTAGGATTAAATAATACTCCCTCCGTTTCAAATTCTTTGACATGTTTTCCTTTTTTGGATGTTTCAAAACTAATATCACACTTCTTTATTTCCTTATTTGGAAAACAAATCTATATTGATACAATATAAAATGGTGCAAAATAGCGCTCAAATAGTGTCAAATAATGTCAAATAGTGTCAAAACAGTGTATCAGTAAAATTACCCCTTAGTAAACTTTTTTCTTTAATCTTTGTGAAGTAAAAGTGTGTCAAATTGAAACAGAGGGAGTTGAAAATGTCAAGAATATGAGAATAAGTTTTAAATTCCAAAATAGGAATAATTCTTCCTATCTCCTACCCTTTCTCATTGAATAATGCATTAAGAATTAGTACGTATAAGCCAAGCACTGGACTATCAATTTTCCTAGGTTGTTGTAGCACATGATATTAACTAACCTATAGGGGCTTGTTTGGTATGCTTTACTGAAAAGGTTAAATTTGTCGAATTGACCAAGTGGCATGAATGAATATTTGTCAAATAATTTGTAAAGTACTCACTCGAGAAATTGTATCTGACATTTTAGAATGAAACTCAAAACATGATCGACCAACACATATATATGTAATGGAATGATATCACATGCCCCAAATAAAATTAAATTGAGCTTATAATTTCTATCTGTTGTATATAATGCTCCCACTGAAAAAATCAATATGCCCCCAATAAAAAAACGTACCCAGTACCCTCATTAGCTTTTCGATCAACTATATTACTATAGGCACAAATAAACTTTTCATCTCTCACTTATTTCCAATATTAATTTGTTTTGTAGTTTATTCATATTGTTTTACCTAATATTTCATTTCATTTTCGTTTACCCCAGTGCCACAAAGGCTCCCACCTACGGTGGGGTAAGGGGGGTCAGATGTACGCAGTCTTACCCATGTACTAAAGCACAGAGAGATTGTTTCCGGATGACCCATAGTGAAAATCGCGTCCAAAATTACATGGACTGACTGCTGCTCCATAACAAAGAAGCGCAGACAGTTTAGTGAGCCATTTTGCTTTATTCCATCATAATCTCAAGCCAAAAAAATGATTTTTGGCTCCGTTGCAAATGATGGAAAAGTTTTACCTAATATTTAAATGATTTAATTTCTATTTAATTCGGGGATACCGGATTACTGGCACGCTAATTAGCTTAAAATTTACAAGTAGTTAGTATTGCTTGCAATTGGTTTTGTAATACAAAATTTATAGAGCAAATAAAAATATTTAATTTCTAAAAAGAATAAAGAAAAAACCATGTAAATATCATTCTTAAAATATATTGTTCTTTTTTATACTCCTCAAATTCTTATTTGCATTCATTTTCACTAGTGTCTAAACTATCTTACTCTTTTAGAAAATATTTGTCCGATAGGTATTATTCAAGTTTTCCCTAAATAATTTGTAACCATATCATATGGTTCTCACCTTTATTAAAAATTGAACAAAGTCAAATATTGAGACAAATAGAGCAATTAATAGTTTAGTATTTTTCTTTATATCTTTGGAATTTTTTTTACTATGTGTATACATCTTATAAAACTGTACACGCAATTCACATAAACAATAAGAATTTAAGTTTAATTTTACGAAGTTTCTTAATTATTGTATTCAAAATGAGTCACATATAAAAGTTATGCAAAACAGATTTAGTTAATTAAAAGACAAATTTTATAAATATAAGTGCACTCACTAAAATTGTACTTTACCGAAGTTGAAATATCACACATTTTAATGAAGAAACTTCCAGATTTCCCCCTGATAGGTTAGTATTCCATAAATAGGATTACTAATAGCTAAATTGCAAGATTAGGATTATAAGTTTTAAATTTTAAAAAGAGGAATAACTCTTTCCTATCCTACTCTTTATCGTCCCATGCTTTAATAGCTAGGTTTTTTATATTTATAATTAATACAGAGTAATAATTAAACATACACATGTAAAAAAAATGTAAAATACTAAAAAAATGCATTAGCCTCCGTCGTGGACTTGGTCATCTCGCAGCACCGCCACATCTAATTGTCAGAAAAAATGCCAAGTGTCAAAAGTAATGCCATAATTGCCCTTTTGATCGTAGTTTAGGAATAAAATTTGACAATTTTAAAGAATAACAATGTCATCTTTACATAAGATGACATTTCTACAAAGAGTGACATTTTTTACAACGATCAGATGTGGTGGTGCTGGAAGGAGCAGATACGGCAGCACAGACATGCATATATTTTTTATGTGATTTATTTAATATTTTTTAGTGATTTTAATTTTATTTTATTTTTATATTGAATTTATAATTTATACGATAATAGTTTTATTATAAATGAAAGTATGATTTTATTATTAATAAAATAAATCCGTTGGGAAAAATATGGAGAGGGAGCACAAATATATGACTCCCATTTTAATTTAATTAAAAAATAAAAAGACTAGAGACATATAATCACAGTTTGAAGTTTATTTAGTCCATATAGAGTTATCATGTGTTTAGATTATGATGAAGTGGTGCAATATATACTACTCCCTCCGTACATAGTAATTTAATTTTGTTGTGGTATAGGGTTTGACGTGGCATCGGTAGCTTGTTGCGGCACAGGGCTTTTCGAGATGAGCTACCTGTGTGACCGGATGAACCCGTTCACATGTACGGATGCGAATAAGTACGTCTTCTGGGACTCCTTCCATCTCACCGAGAGGACCAACCGGATCATTGTTGACTACTTGATGAAAAACACCCTACGTCAATTTCTCTAGTCAATCTGCCCGGCCGGCCCTGCTGTACTAATAATTATACACGTACAGATTGTTTATTTTTTGCCTTCTTTATATAATATAATAATAATAATAATAATATATGTATTACACATACCTTAATTAATTATGTTAGTTGGACGTACTCTGTACCTAAATTATTACGTGTTATTATGCAATTAATTACGACGTAATAATACATGTGTGCGTGCATTGAATTTCTCGTAATTATTTTTGTAAATTTATCAATTATTTGACAAATTTACGTGCAGGTTTAATACTTCTAAATTTATTTATCACAAGGAGTTTAATTAATACATTTTTCAATTAATGAATGACTAATGATGTGTATAATTTATATATATCAAGTTTGGTGCAAAACATTAACTAGCTAATCACCCAATGTAAAGATTCAAGTTATCTGAAATATTAGAAAATATAATCAATCATTACCTAACTCAAAAGAGGGAAATAATTCATGCTTTTAGTTGGGGATTTTTCCATTTGCCCCTATATAATAGGATGTTTTTACTTGGACTGTTTTAGTCACAGATCAGATCAAACTTAAACAGTCTAGATCAGATCGGACTTAAACAGATCAGATCATATGAGACCAAACTTGAACTGTATAGTTATAAAATACATAGGGATCAAACATTTATCGGACAAAATTTTGTGTCCAAATCAAAACATCCTTAATGATGTAATTTTTTATTTCGCGCGCTAAAGTTTGTAATAAGCAGAAAAAGTAAGTTTGAAGTTACTTTTCTGGTTGTTTTGGCTGAAGTTACTGTAGAGGATCATTTTAGCTATTTTTCATATAATTTTTTATTTAATTTATTGCTAACAAATATTTTAAATATAATTTTTTCATGAATCAGCAGAATCAACCAATACAACCACTTCAGCCAAAACTTCATAAATTTCAGCAGAATCAGCCAATTCAGCCAATTTTAGTGTTACCAAACGGGCTCTAAATAGTTTGACACGTTTTAAGAATGAAGGTAGTAAGAAGAGATGATGCAAAAGTATGAAAAAAGATAAAAAGTACGGAGTATAAGAATAAATAATTGTAATTGGGTATTTTAAAATGAAAAACTTACCAATAAAGAAAACGTAACCAAATTTTAAGTATATTACAAAAAGGAAAGCACAACAAATTTTAAAGGAAATTAAAATTCTGATTAACCCTTCTAATTTGGTCACAATTATTAGTTCAACTTTATATTTTTAAAAGAACTATTTACGGATTTACAGGGGCGGACCGTAGTAGAGACCCGGGGGGGGGGGGGGGGGGGGGCTACCGCCCCCCAACAATTTTTTTTTAGTGTATATATATACGAAAAATAATTTTTATTCTTCCAAAAAGTATTTTGAAACCCCCGAAAATATTTTCGCCCCCAAAATGACTTTCCTGGGTCCGCCCCCGCGGATTTACCTCCTTAGCTTTGATTTTTTTACTAACTAGTCAACTAGAAGCACCACCACAAATTGACATTACTTTGATGAAAATACCCTTAACTAGCGCTTGTTTATTGACTTCGATCGGCCATTTTCGTGCTCCTGATAATACAAAACTATAAGGTTTAGACAACTTTTGCCTCCATTAACCTTCTCCTTTTTCACTTGAATTCTCCAAATGACTAAGTTCCAAGATTTCCAGTTTTGTTTAGGGGAATCGCTACACTCTCTTGTTATTCAATAATTTTGAGAATGGCTAAGCCAAGTGATCTGGATTTTTTTAGTCATCTCCTTCCCTTTTGCATCTGTAGAAGCAAAAGCTGTACGCCTTCAATTCAGTGACTCAAATGTAATTAATACAGGGTTGGATTAATAATTATAACTAAATCAAAAGGGGTTAATCATAATTTTTCCAACTTTAAAATAGGGACGTAGTATATAAAGTATTAATAATTGTTGGTACTTGGAAGCATTCTTTTTTCCCTATTGGGGCATTCAAGTATTCTAATTTTCACTAAAATACAATTTTATAAACCTATAAATTCAGAATTTATTGGGGGCATGGGCTAGATTACGACGAGTCAATAGGGCCGGGTTTGAAGATGAAAAGATCAAGTTGAAGCTTTCACTCCGTTCACACCTTCATCGGCGAATGGGGATAGCTCTAAACATGTGAAATTAAAAAAGGATTTTTTTAGTATTATTTATTGGTCTGTTTAAGTCTGGTATTATCTGTTTAAGTCCGATCTGGTCTGATCTGATTTGAACTGGTATAGTTTCATAACATCTGGTCTCTCTATATTTTATAACTACGAAAATAAAGTCCGATTTGATCTGATCTGTTTAAGCCTGATTTGATCCGTTTAAGTTTGATCTGATCTGGTTTGACCCGTTTAACTTTGGTCTCGTGTAACCGTCCAAATAAAAATATACTAGATCTGCAACTCCATTATTTATAGTTCGGTGATGGCGTGGTCGCGAATGGATGCCTAAAATGGGGGGTTTGACGATCGATTTACTCCACTTTTTCGTATGATTTGTTTGGCAAATGCCTAAAAACAGGGTTCGCTATTTCTGCAGAGGCAGAGAGTGAGCGGCTAGAGATGGATGCCGCACTTACCATGGAAAGACGAAAACGTTTGACTTACACGATGACACCTCATTCCTGAGGGCCCCCAACCCCGACCGGACGATATGATGGGAGGATGTAAATTGGACTATAATCACAATTTGATAGATAGACAATGTGGCTCTGTTCACGGTACTTGCAGAGGTCCTATGCATTTATAGCATAGTAACCCCTCATCGCAGTTGCCGGGATTCGAACCCGGGGCCTAACCCTTGAGGCCCTACGCCCACCGGTTTTTGTTTTTTTACGAAAATGTTTGACTTTGACTATACGTAATATTTATGCATAGGCCAAATCAAAAAAATAGAGTCACCTACTCCCTAATAGAATTTTAATTACTCCCCTCAGTTTCTCAAACAACTTTTCATTTTCCTTTTCAGGAAGTTCCAAAATTAACTTCACACTTCGGATGTTTTTACTTGGACTGTAATTTGATGGTCTGGTCTGGTCTGAACTGGTTTGGTCTGGTCTGGTCTGGTCTGATATAGTTTCTTTGTATTTTTATAACTATCCAAGTCTAGTCTGATCTGGCCTGAACTGGTCTGGTCTGATCTGGTCTGGTCTAGTCTGGTCTGGTCTGGGACGAATTACAGTCCAAGTAAAAACATCCTTCTTCTTATTTTCTTATTTGGCAAATTATCTACACCAAAACAGTGCAAAACAGTGTCAAACAGTGCCAAACAGTGCCAAACAGTGCACTCTACGTATAAAATTATACTCCTAACAAACAAAATATTAATTCAAGAACCTTTTGGCTTAATAACATCATCGGGATACTCTTAAGAGCACATTTGGTAACACTCAAATTGGCTGTATCGGCTGATTCTGCTGAAATTTATAAAGTTTTGGCTGAAGTGACGAGATAGACTGATTATGATGATGTATCAAAAAATTATATTTAAAATATTTTTAATTAATAAAATGAAGAAAAAAATATATAAAAATAATTACAATGATCTTTTAAACTTAATGAAAAACATTCTCACCAAATTTTATCAAACAACTACACTAGAATATACCTCAAATGGAGGCGGACGGATATGGAATCCGGTTAGGAAGGCTTGACCCGTGTGGTGGAACCACAGAAGGGGCTTGGAGGGCTTGTTCCCTTGCAACTTTTTTATTTATATATATATATATATATATATATATATATATATATATATATATATATATATATATATATATATATATATATATATATATATGAATATATATATATATATATATATATAGAGAGAGAGAGAGAGAGAGATTTTCTCATGTCCAGCACCTCCCGTTCCGAACGCCGTCCGAACAACGCCGTTTAAGGCGGTTCCCGCCGAAATTTTTTGACGAAATTTTTTGATCATGTTTCTCATCAAGTCTAGTTTATCCATACCAAATTTCAACTCAAAATTCGATCAGGAAGGCAGTCAAATAATTTGGCGCAATTAACTTCAAAGAATTATTTGGCTGCCTTCATGATCGCATTTTGAGCTGAAATTTGGTATGGATAAACTAGACTTGATGAGAAACATGATCAAAAAAAATCGTCAAAAAATGTCATCACCGTTTAGGGTGGTTCCGGGGGATTTTTTGATGAAATTTTTTGAGCATGTTCCTCATCAAGTCTAGTTTATCCATACCAAATTTCACCTAAAAAATCGATCGGGAAGACAGTCAAATAATTTGTTGAAGTTAACTGCGCCAAATTATACATAGTGACTCAGTCGGCCCAATGATGGTCGCACCAGAGGTCCAACCCAGCACGTGGGAGCTGTAACCTGCACACGGTCGCTGCGGGTTTTGAACCTTGGTCATTGTTCCAAATTTTCCATCACTGAACCAACTGAGCTACCCGTGCAGGTTATTTTTTCTTTTAATAAAAGAGGATGGTATTAAACTTTCTCTTTTTAATAGTGTACACATCTAATTGGTATCATTTATACTCTCGATTCTCTCCCTAGCAGCTTTGACGTCGCGTAGTGTTTTTCCTTCCGCTAACCGTTTGTGCGGCTTTTCTTCTCTAGGCTTCTAGAGTGTTTTTTATTTTAAATTGTTGGTTCTAGTTTTGGGATTGAGGTGACTTTCAGATTATCCATTGGAAGTCGAAGCAGTGACAAGATTTCATCTTTGTTTTCTGATCTCTTTTCTCGGCTTGTGTAAGTTAATCTTAAAGGAGGCGTGAGTGCAACTGTAGCTTTTGGAAACAAATCCACAATTCAAGAAAGCAGAATTTTGGCTTCTATGGATGATCTAGAGCAACAGTGTCCCATTCCTGCAATTGAGGAAGAGATCGACGAGTTAGTTTTTGGCATATCAACATGGGTTGAGGGTGGTGTTGGTAGTAGAAGCGGCACGGGCGATGAGAAGACGGGAAGAGGTGAAGGGCTGAGTAAGGGAGAAGACAGATCGGTGGTCCGCCCCCCTCCTAAACCGCTGCCTTGGAGCAATCGAGATGGTAGGGTTCAGAAGATTTATCAGTTATTTATTTTTTTATGGTTTTATTTTCGCTTTATATTTTACGTTGTTCTGTTTTTAGTTGAGTCTTTAGTTTTAGGTCTACAATACTGATCGACAATTCCGCTAGATATTATACGAAAGAATAATTGGGAGAATAATGGCTTATCCTATTGGGTGCGTTGGCCTTCTATTTATAATAAAATAGAGTTATGGAATATTACAAAGTAATCCCTAAATATTACATTATTACACCCCCTCAATTTATACAGGAAAATCACGTGCAAATTGGAATGTAAAAACTCAAATCGCTGACTAGATAAATTTTTGGTGATGATATCAGCTAACTGTATCTGGGTAGGTATATGTTTCACCACAAGATCTCCATGTGCTACACGTTCACGAACAAAGTGGTAGTCAATTTTAATGTGCTTACTCCGATCATGGTGAATTGGATTAACCGCCAAGTAAGAAGCTGAGACATTATCACAAAGGAGCTGCACGGGGGCCGAAATAAAAATGCCCATATCTGCCAGTAGTGATCTGATGAAGAGTGTATCCTGAACAGTATAAGCAATGACCCTGTATTCGGCCTCAGTTAGAGGATTTGGACATTGTCGGTTGTTTCTTGGAGCGCCACGAAATCAAATTAGAGCCCAGAAACACCGCATAGCCTGTAGTAGATCGCGAGCTATCTGGGCATCCTGCTCAATCTGCGTCAGAGTAAGCCGTAACAACGGAAATATTTTTATCATCTCGTAACCATAGTCCATGAGTGCTCGTACCCTGCAAATACCTGTAAATCCTCTTAACAGCCAAAAGGTGAGTAGTACGTGGAGCATGCATAAACTGAGACACAAGGTTGACAGCATAAGTAATATCAGGTCTAGTAAGGATTAGATACTGAAGAGCACCTACCATACTCTGATACTCAGTAATATCAGAAAAAAGTTCCCCATCTGTGAGAGACAGTGTAGTGCGTGAAGGTAAGGGAGTACGAACAGGCTTTACAGTATGGAGATGAAAACGACGTAAGAGATCAGTTATATACTTAGCCTGTGACAAGAACAAACCTGTAGGCGTGCGTTTAGCCTGAACACCAAAAAAATAATGAAGCTCCCTCAAATCCTTCATCGCAAATTGATGAGATAATGTAGTTATAACAGAGGAAACAAAAGAAGCAGAAGAGCCTGTAATAAGAATATCATCCACATATAAAAGAATATAGACCACCAGAGACTGAGTACGATAAACGAACATGGATGAATCAGACCTTCTCTGTGTAAAACCACAACTCATCAAAAAAACCACTGAAACGATGAAAGCAAACTCGATGAGCTTGTTTCAAACCATGAAGAGCCTTACGAAGACGACACACATTATTAGGATAAGATGGGTGAACAAAGCCCTGAGGTTGGCGCATATACACCTCCTAAGTTAAAACACCATGCAAAAAAGCATTTTTCACATCTAACTGACGAATAGACCAGCCCAAGGAAGTGGCAACAGATAAAACAAGACGAACAGTAGTCGGTTTAACAACAAGACTAAATGTTTCAGTAAAGTCAATATCAGCCCGTTGTTTAAAACCTTGAGCAACTAGACGAGCTTTATGCCGCTCAACAGACCCATCAGAATAATATTTTGTCTTATAAATCCACTAACAACCAATCACATTTTTAGTAGGGTCCCAAGGTACCAAATCCCAAGTCTTATTATTAATCAAAGCATTAAATTCATCCGCCATGGCAGCCCGCCAAATAAAACTTTTATTTGCCCGTGTAAACCATGTAAGATCATCCAGGGGAGACAAATCACTTAAGGTAAAAATATTTTTTGGTTTGAAGATGCCAGCCTTGGCACGAGTATGCATGGGATGAACATTTATAGGTGCGTGTGGGATCGGGAGCTTTGTTGTAGGAGACGGTTGACAATTGTGGTTATGGTAACTGGTTTGGGACAGGGTAGGAGAGGCTGTGGGCGATGTAGAGGAGCTGATGGGATGATCAGTAGTCAGTGGGTTACCCTATTGGGTGCCTTGACCTTCTATTTATAATAAAACAGAGTTATGGAATATTACAAAGTAATCCCTAAATATTACATTATTATATATTATGTCATTAAAAGGATCTATATGGCCAGTGATTGTTGTGTCACACCTGCTTGGTGGTTAGCGATTCGTATTGCTCCTTCATGGGTGATCGTCTCTGAGTCTAGCCATAAGGTTGATAGTGTTAGATGGTTAGGGATGATTGTTGTTAGTGTTGGTATATTTGAGTTTGTTGTAACGATCTGATTCCTAATGATATTAATATAAGCGGTTGTTTCGATGATAAAAAAAAGAGGATGGTATTATTTATTGAGCTACTTTTTTAATATCCACCCTGAGAACCGTTGTGTTTGAGTAGTGGAAATTACTCCGCAGTCTTCCACTCTTTGATACAGACTCACATAGGATTCTCTCTCTTGTCGAGGGATAGATTTTTCTCTCGCTTGTCGATTTAGGTTTTTCTCTCGCATGTCGAGAGCGGTGCAATGTCGCACTTCTGCAGATCAGTTTTTCTTTGGCATTTTGATTGAGTGCAGGGTCAAGAAAGAATAATCATGGCTTTTATGGATCAGACTTATTCCAGCAATTGAGGAGGAAGTCGAAGGGATAATTCTTGGCGGATCAACATGAGTGGAGGGTGGTGGCAGTAGTGGAGGCGGCACGGGCAACTAGCAGATGGGGAGAGGTGAAGGGCTGAGCAAGGGATAAGACATATATGCAGTCCGCCCCATCCTGAATCGTCACCTTGGAGCGATCGAGGAGCTAAGGGTTTGGAAGATTTATCAGTTATTTTTTTATGGTCTTATTTTCGCATTATGTTTTACGTTGCTTTGTTTTTTGTTGATATATGTCTTAGTTTTATGTTTACAATAATGATTGACAATTCTGTTAAATATCATGTCTTTAGAAGGATCTATATGGTCAGTGATTGTTGTGTCACACCCGTTTGGGGATTAACGATTCGTATTTATCTCTCAGGGGTGATTGTCTCTGAGTCTAGCCGTAGGGTTGATAGTACTAGTTGGTAACGAATAGTTATCGTCAGTGGTTGTCTCTTTGAGTTTGTTGTAACGATCTGAAGTCTAATGATATTAATATAAGTGATTTTTCCTTTCAAAAAATATCCACCAAATTTTTTTTAAAATAATTTATATAGTGTTTAAGTGCATAAATCTTATCAGTATAAAAAATTAATATTAAATAATACGGAGTACCTTTTATCTCTATCATGAGTGTTTGTAACCCACAAGGGATCCTTTTAAATTTTAGTATTGCAATAGTATCTAACTATCTATATGAGACTATTTATTTTTAGAATAATATTATGTTACTCATATATATTGTGCATATTATATTTGTATTAATGTTAGAATAATCTAAAGTTTACACTTGTGCAATAAATGTTCTTAAAAAGTCAGAGCTAAATGTGTTGCATAAACATTTATATTTTGAATTCACTTCACACTATATAAAAATTGTTAGAAATAATTACAAAAATTAAAATAAATGTTGTTTATAAAAATGTGACTTCCTAAGTGTAGTGACTATAGTAGTAACTTAATCATTATAACTTATGTTCAAGTTTTAAACGTAATGACTATGAGACTATATTATATTAATGATCGGTTATATTTTTGTAAATACGTTTCATTTCAATAATATTTTTGAAAAAACTTCAATTGTTCAACTAGTGTGTCTCGTATGTAATAGTGATTGATATTTTACAAAATCGAGTACTAGTTATCTAATAAAGATAAATTAAATATTACAAAATTAGGAATTTGGAATTTTTTGGAGGGGAGTCTCCAAAAATAATATTAAAATAAATGTCATGGACAAAAGTAAGACCTCTTTCAAATAATTCCAAAAACGAGACAAACTACCAGTGACCATGACTAGGGCTTGCATTTTCAACCGAAAAATCGAAAACTGAACCGACTTAAACGGGACCCGAAAGTTGGGACCCGAATAAAAATCGGTTCAGAACCGGTTCTTTGAGATTGAAAATCAGTTCAAACCGAACCGGGCCAATTTTTTATTAAATAATAGTTTTTAATTATTTTATTTAATTGGTATCACTTTAATGTATTTTAAAGATTTAGCGTCCGAATGCAGCAACTATCCGAAGTAGTTCAGCGGTATTCAGTGACGCGCCCCATCCGTATAACCCAGGGTTGAATCCCCCAACGACTAGATCCCTTGTTTTTTGCTTTCCTTCTGCCCCAACTCTTCCATTTAGTTTTTCTTCCGTAGAGAACTCTTCCCACACCGGATGGAATAGAGGATTTACTCCTCGTATGAGCCTATATAATCGCCACTTCGTAGTTTCAAAGGAATAAGTTGCTAGCAAAGCCTGAGGGCGAATATTAGCTATTGTATATACAAATATTGAATATTCATTCGGTTTTTTCACAAAAACCGAAAACCAGACCGAAAATTCGGTTTCCGAAAAATTGGGTTCAAAGGAGTTTGGTTCGGTTTCAGTTTATGAAATGTAAGAAACCGAAAGATCAGTTCGGTTTAGATATTTCCCATTTCGGTTCGGGAACCGAACCGAATCCACCCCTAACCATGACCAATCATGCTTGTGACCAACCCGACTAGTGACTAGTGATTAATTCGTCCAGTGACAAACCCGATCAATGACCAAACCCGATCAGTGACCAACCCGAATAGTGAGAAATGACTAATCCCACCAATGATCAAACCCGATGAATGACCAGACCCGGTCATTGACCAGTAACCAACCCGACTAGTGAGTAATTTGACCAATGACCAAACCCGACCAGTGACCAACATTGCTCCGGCAATGATCAAACCCAAACGACCTGTTACAGTTGCCATGTCTGATAGTGACCAATGCTAACAACAACTGAAGTCAAACCACCGCCGGTAACAGCCGCCATCCGCCGGCGGCGGACACCACCGAAGCTGTCCAACAATCTCGTCAGTGACCACCAACCTCTCCCCCTCTTCGCCTCTCCGACGATCGGCCTTCCCATCCCGTCTCCCTCCCGAACCACAACCCCAAACCCCTTGTCACCGCCGGTCACCGCCGCCCATACCCCGCTCTTCTCACCCCGTCCTCGTCCCCTTCAACCAATGCACCCCACTAATAAAGTTTAGAATAATGAGGAATTGAGACTGAAAAGATTGATTCATTCCATGAAATGATATCCTATTTAAACAACATTTTAGAGCTAAGCTACTAATTATAATATTAAATACAAAGATTTGTAACTGAAGTATTAAATACAAATATTCTAATTTATTTTGTAACTCATGTAACTGATCTCTAGAGCTGTCTAGACTCTTCTGTCTATATGCCCCCGCAAGCCAGGTATTCTATCAGTGCTGAGAATCCTGAGCTTGTCACGTAGAAAAACAAACCGTTGTCGTGAAAGGGGTTTGGTGAGAATGTCAGCTAGTTGATCATGCGAGGGGATACGAAGAACCCGAAGAAGGCCACGTTGCACACGTTGACGAACAAAATGGAAATCAATGGCAACATGTTTCATTCGGGAATGGAACACCGGATTGGCAGAAGAGGTGGTAGCGCCTTTATTATCACATAGAAGAACTGGAGGAGAAGAAGGGGAATGTCGAAGCTCATGAAGAAGTGACTCAATCCAAAGAGTTTCAGATGCAGCAGTGGATAGGGCCCGATACTCTGCTTCGGTTGAGGATTTGGCAATTGTGCGTTGCTTGGAGGACTTCCATGAAATAAGCGATTCTCCGAGAAAAATGGCATAAGCACTGGTAGAGGATCGGTCATCTGGATTTCCCGCCCAGTCTGCATCAGCATAAGCACACAATGAAAGGTGAGAACTCCGACGGAGATATAAACCATGAGAGGCTGTTCCGTGAAGATACCGCAAGAGACGTTTCATGAGCTGCCAATGGTTCACCGTGGGTTTGTGCATAAACTGGGCTAGCTTGTTGATTGCAAAGGCCGTATCAGGTCGGGTGAGGCTTAAATACTGAAGTGATCCAATAGCTTGACGATAGAGAGTGACATCACAAGAACCTGAGCTATCAAACAGAGTCAAGGAAGCTGAGGAAGCTAAAGGCGTGGATACTGGATTCGCCTCGTGCATGTTCAACACCTGTAATAAATCTGTAATGTACTTGTGTTGATCAAGTAAGAGTCCATCTGATGCAGGGGTAACCTGTATGCCCAAAAAGTAATGTAATGACCCCAAATCCTTAATGGAGAATTTTTGTGCTAACAAGTTAATAGTCCGATGAATCAAGTCTGGTGTAGAGCCCGTAACAATAATATCATCCACGGGAAAAGAGTCAGATAGGGCCTCGAACTTACAAAAAAATGTCAAATAAGGCCTTATATAGGATGTTCTGTCCGGCCGACGTCATTTGGGTCGGTTTCCGGTGTAATTTTTCGATGAAATTTTGTGACCATCTTATTCATTAAGTCTAGTTTACTCATACCAAATGTCAGCTAAAACTTCAATCGGGAAGGCATTCAAATAAATTCTTGAAGATAACTGCGCTTTTAAGTGCACACTTATCTTCAAGAATTTATTCGAATGCCTTCCCGATTGAAGTTTTAGTTGAAAATTGGTATGAGTAAACTACACTTAATGAATAAGATGCTAAAAAAGTTTCGTTGAAAAATTGCACCGAGAACCGTCTCAAATGGCGTCGGCCGGACAGAACCTCTTATATAAGGCCTTACTTGACATTGTTTTTGTAAGTTTGAGGCCTTATCTGACCCTTTTCCCTATCATCCACATATACCAACACATAGATATAAGAGGGATGAGAAGAAAAGATGAAGAGGCTGGCATCAGAGACTGATTGATGAAAACCAAGGGATAATAGAAATCCACTAAGAGATTGGTACCATACTCGAGGTGCTTGTTTGAGACCATAGATGGATTTCCTAAGACGACACACGCTTCCAGAGCCATCATTGAAACCAGGGGGTTGTTTCATGTAAACCTCCTCTTGAAGAGCACCATGTAGAAAAGCATTGTTGACATCTAGTTGGTTTATGTTCCAGCCATGAGAAAGTGCAATAGTCAGAACAACCCGAATAGTAACTGGTTTGATGACTGGGCTAAAGGTCTCAGAGTAATCAATCCCCGGGCGCTGATGAAAGCCTTTAGCCACCAATCGAGCTTTGAAACGATCCAAGGAACCATCGGGCTTATATTTCAGAGTATAAACCCATTTGCAGCCAACGATGTTCTGACCAGGATGAGCGGGTACAAGTTCCCATGTCCCTTGTTGAACCAAAGCATCGAATTCCACAGACATAGCCTTCCTCCATTCAGGTACCTTTAAAGCTTGAGAAGCACAAGTAGGAATAATATGATGAGGTAATGGTGAGTGAGTGACAACATTAGCTTGTTTACGAGAACGAAGGGTCATTGGGTGGATACGTTTGGGTGGAGAGGCTTTTGGATCATGATGATGACCCAAGGTAGATATGGGATTATTTGTAGTGGGAGTAATGGTTGAGGGGTTGGTGTTGGGTACATTAGGTAAGGATGGAGTAGTTGGGTTTTGTTTGGGCCGGTGGTGATAAGTGATGAGGACCGGTGGGTTAAAGCTGATGGAGTGTTATGAGGAGCAGGGTTAGGGGAGTCTTGTGTTATTGGGGTACGAGTAGTAGGAGACGCCTTTGCTAGTGATGTACCTGAGATAGGAAGATAAGAGATAGGAGGTTGAAGCCAACTGTCAATTTCAGAGGACAGATCTGTAACGGGTGTTGTATTATTAGAGAAAGGGAAGACAGACTCATTGAACACCACATGCCGACTAAAAAAGATGCGATTGGTAGTAGGATCAAGACAACGATAAGCGCTTTGTTGATCGCAATACCCAAGGAAAATACAAGGTCTGGACCGTGGTTCTAACTTATGAGCTGCATAAGGACGGAGCCATGGAAAACATTGAGATCCGAAAATAGCAAGTTTTGTGTAATTGGGAGGTTTTTGAAAAAGTTTTTCATAGGGAGTACAAAAACCTAGAGATGTTGTTGGTTGCCTATTAATTAGATATACAGCAGTTAAAAAGGTGTATGACCAATATTTTAACGGCATAGAAGAGTGGTGAAGTAAAGTGATCTATGTTTCTACAATATGACGATGTCGGCGTTCAGCGAAGCCGTTATGCTCAGGGGTATATGGAGGGGTCAGTAAGTGAGTAATACCACAAGAGGCCAGAAATTTCCCTAGGGATATGTATTCACCCCCTCCATCTGAATAAACCATTTTAATAGATTTTTGAAAAAAGTTTTCTACGATCATCTTAAATTGTTGAAAAATTGAAGTTACCTCAGACTTGTGAGTGATAGTGTAAAACCAAATGTATTTTGTGTAGTGATCAACAAAAATAACATAATAACGAAAACCATCCACAAAATTAATGTGTGAGGGACCCCAAACATCTGTATAAACTAAATCAAGTGGACCTGAACTTGAAAGGGAAGATTTAGCAAAAGGTAACTTGTGACTTTTATTACTTGCGCATGAAGTGCATAAGGACAAATCCTTATTAACATCTTTAAAGGAAATACCTAATGAGGAAATAACTTTTTGAGTGATGGGAAGGGCAGGATGTCCTAAACGACAATGTCATTTATTTAGAGAAAATTTTGTAGTAACATTGACACATGGTGATGAAGGAACAGGAACATCAGGCAAGCTGTAGACGTCACCTTTATTCATACCCCGTAACAAAATTGCTCCCGTTTTCCGGTCCTTGACAAGACAAAAAGAAGGGTGAAACTCGATTAGTACATCATTGTCACGACATAATTTGGCAACTGAAATTAAATTAGTATGAATAGAAGGAACAAAAAGAGTATTAGGTAAGGAGAGAGAATGAAGGGTCATATTCCCAACTTGTGCAATTTCAAGACTTTTACCGTTACCAATAATGAGGGAGTCTGTGCCGGTGTAATCGGACGCCAGGGTAAGATTGTTTAAATTATTGGTGACATGATTAGTTGCTCCCGAGTCCAGCAACCATCCGGTTCTCCTGGTCGTGGCAGTATTGGCCTGGGGGGGATAATTTTGTTGTTCAAACCTGTGCCAACAGTTTATAGCGAGATGGTTCGGTTTGCTACAAATTTGACATATAACAGCACCCGGACTGGTATTTCCCCCAAAATTAGTACGCCTGCCCCCGGGATTATTATTTCCACGTCGATTTGAATTGTAGAAGTTGTTGGGACGTGGGCCTCGATTTTGATTTTTGAAAAAAAAAATTATTCTGAGTATTGGGCCTATTGGGTAGAGTCTGAAACAGGGCTGATGGACCTGGGCCTAATATAGACGCGTTCTGGTGTATACTTCTGCGAACGGTCATTGCGACCGAACTGTCTTCTTCCTCTTTTCTTTCTACCGTCGCTGCGTTCGCAGTAACAACAGCCGCGGAATTCAAGAGCTCCCTCCTTCGCAACTTGTCTTCGAATCTGACCAGTAAGGAGTGGAGTTCTTCGAAGTTAGTTTCATCTGGGCGGATGGAGTTCTCCACGGATTCAAACTCGGGACGAAGACCCTCCAGGGCTTGAATGGCAAAGTCTTCATCGTCAACAGGTCGGCCGGCCATGGCTAGTTCATCCGCGAGGGTCCGAAGGTGGTGAAGATATTCTGCTACAGGTTGCGACCCCTGTTTAGCATGACGGAACTGGTCTTTAAGACTTCGAATTTTGGAAGATGACCGGGTCCCGTATAGGCGTTCCAGTGTTTTCCAGACGGAGGCGGAGGTCTTTGCAGACCCAACCAGCGGTTTGCAGGCGGAACTGAGAGAAGATACAAGAGCATACCGCATCAGACGATCCTGTCTCTTCCATCGCAGAAAGTTGGCAGCTTCAGTTTCTGGAGGAGGACTGATTTTTTCATCAATATACTGATCTAGATGAGACCCGAACAGAAGGTCCATTACTTGGTCTCTTCATACAAGGTAATTTGATCCATCTAGTTTTTTCTGGGAATTGGTTAGGGTTGAGCATAACAAGGCCATCCGGGGTTAGGGGATTATTGGCTGAGAGAGATGACGTTGAGTTATCATTCACGTCTTCTGGACTTTTGTCTCTATTATTTTCATGAGCCATGGGTAGAGAAAGGTGATGCGGGGAGGATAGTTCAGTGAAGAGAATAGGCCGTTTAGGCCTCTAGAGGCTCTGATACCATAATAAAGTTTAGAATAAGGAGGAATTGAGACTGAAAAGCTTGATTCATTCCATGAAATGATATCCTACTTATACAACATTTTAGAGCTAGGCTACTAATTATAATATTAAATACAAAGATTTGTAACTGAAATATTAAATACAAATATTCTAATTTATTTTGTAACTCATGTAACTGATCTCTAGAGCTGTCTAGACTCTTCTGTCTATACCCACTACCATACCCCGCCACCAGATCCAGGTCCGACTAGCCATTCTATCGAACTCTAGCCGCTCGCCGCACTCTCTCACCCCTGTATTCGCCCAGATCCAAAACCATAGCTCTTTGGAAAAATAGATTCGGAAGAAGAAATAGATTAGGAGGAAGAAAAGTTGGATATGGATACAGAGGCGACGAAGAGCATGACATTCAGAGGTGCGACGGCGGCAAGTACAACATTCCGTCAACATTGGTGCAACACTCCAGTGATATGGGGGACGGTAGATGTGTGCGTAGAGGGTTGGCCAATTTGAAATTAGGTTCTATTTTTGTCTTTTGAAAAGGAGGGAGTATTATTTCAGTTATTCTTTCATTTTGTAACTGAAATAAGTATTATTTCAGTTATCCTATGTTTTAAAACAATGAGTAGTTTTATTGTATATATGTCTAAATAAAGATACATTATTATAGATTTCTCTCTTTTCATCTCTTTTTTTGGCAAACTCTTTTTATCTCTTATTAAGTATTATAATTAATATTATGTAAGGCTATAAATTATTTTTGAAAACTAAAATTTAAGAGGGCAAACACGTATATATCTAATTAAAATATGAAAATTTAATGAAAATATTACATTTATAATAGAATATTTTGAAAATCCAAGAGGGACGAACACCCCAACGCCCCCCTAAATTCGTCCCTAAACAACAATCCTTATTTGATGATTAGATACAACAACAACAACATCCAAGCCTTAGTCTCAAAAGATATTAGGGTCGGCTAACATGAATCGATACATGATATCACAACCAAAAGGAAAAGAAAGAATAAAGATAAAAAGATAAGCTAGGCAACAACATGATATCCAATTTGATGATTAGATAACTTACATAAA